TCCCAGCTTTTAGCTTCTGAAATTGGGGTCTTGTTAAGTACCCTAGACTAACTCTTAATATTCCTGCCTCAGCCTCTCAAGGACTGGGATTTAAGGAATGTAACGCCATGCCTGGCTGTAATACTACCTTCTGTAATGACAATTTTCCTCTCCCAATGGTCACACAGCCACAATCGTGAAGAAAACACGTGCATCAGCTTCTAGCATACTCCCACGTGTTCCATGTACTTCACAGCGGCATGTTTATGATTCTAGCACTCAGGAAGTAGGCATAGGAGAATCTGAAGTTCAAGCTCATATTCAGCTACATATTCAGCTCAAGACCAGCCTAGACTACATGAGACCCTGTTTCAAAGGAAGGAAGGGAAGGGAAAAGAGAGGAAAGAAAAAAAGAAAAAAGGGAGGGGCAGGGCACAACACAGAAAACAAAACTCTAAGCCAGTGTGGTGGCGCATGCTCAGTATCCCAGCACTCCAGAAGTGGAGAAAGGAGGATGGCAAGCTAGAGGCTAGCCCAGGCTACATAGCAAGACCTTGTCTCAAAATAAGAGAATCGAGAGACTCAGGAAGAGCTGCTCTTTACCTTGCGCTAGAGTCAGCTGCTGCCTGGCTACCTGCTCAACATCCCCTGGGCCCCATGTGTACCCTGGATGAGGCCATGTTTTCCAGACATACCAATATTCCTGGCCTGATGCAACTGCCTTCCATATGGGCCAGGTGAAAGGTTATTACTTCCCTGGGGAGAGGCAGCAAGAGTAGAGCCAGGTGTTGGCAGACTGGGTCCTATAGGCCCACACAAAACTGGCCAGGAACCTGTACAGCTGGGTGAGGGAGTCTGTGTGTGGCTGGTCCACCAGGAACCTAGCAGGTGATCTCATTTCCTTAGCTGCCTTCCCTCACCATGTCCTTCCCCCACCCACCCGAAGCCTGGCCTATGTTTTGAATGACATGCTCCAGGGTACTTGGTGTATACCGGTAAGCCAATTTTATCAAGAGGCTTGGCAGCAGCACTAGAAATTTCTGCAACCTGAATTCTGGCATCCTATCGATGTGAGCACTTCACTGTCTACAGGAGAGAGGTGAGGGTGTGGACACTAGCAGAATGAGCTGATGGTCAGCAGAGAGGAGGCCAAGCCTTGTTTTTTGGTTTGGTTTGGTTTGATTTGGTCTTCTCTCACAATGGTGGGGGTTGAACTTAGGACTCACATTTATTAGTGAAGCATTTTACCCTAAGCCTATGCACCAACCCACTTTTTTTTTTCAGATTATGCTTGGAGACAGGATCTTGCTAAATTGTCCAGATAGGCCTTGAACTTGCAATTCTCCTGCGTCCGCTGCCCTCAGTTTACAATTACAGACAAGCACCAACACAACCTAGGCTCTCAACCCTCTCTTACTTAAAAAAAAACTTTTTAGTTACATTTTAAAACGTATTTGGGAGGGGCCAGGAAGGCTTATATGACATGGCTTGCTTATGGGGGTCAGAAAACAGCCTGCAGGACTCATTCTCTCATTTCTCTGAGGAGCCCAGTGGTCAAATTCAAGTCATCAAACTTGGCAATGGTCGCCTCAAGCCTACTCAGTCTCCCTTTTCCTTTTTCATTTTAAGACAGAATCCCACTAAATGGCCCAGGTTGGCCATGAACTTGTAATTCTCCTGCCTTAATCTCTTAAATATCTCATATTACAGGCCTGAGCTACCAGCCCAGAATATTTTGATGTGTACTTTTCATGGTTGAACTGGTCCCAGGCAATATGCAGTTTCAAAATGTGCCTGCTAGAGTTACTGAGTCACATTGTCCTTTTCTCCTGTGCCCCTTTGCCGTGCACTTTTGCTAGTTCACAATTCCTAAGTTCAACCAACTGGGAATTGAATATACTTCAAAACACAAATGTGTCAAATCAAAACTTAGAGAAATAAAAGTGTCTGTTCTACACAGGCACGGACATTTTTCCTTATCATTATTCCCTAAGCAATGTGGTCCACTAGCCATTTACATAGCATTTATATTGCACTGGCTCGCATAAGAAATCTAAGAGTGGTACATTTGAATCTGAGACTCATGGTGCCCACTTTAATCTCAACAAGTAGCTGTCAGAAGGATCTCAAATTGAAGATCTAACTGTGCCACACAGTGAGTTTCAGTTTCAGACTGAGCAACTTAGTGAAACCCTGTCTCAAAATAAAAATAAGGTGTGGGTATAGCTCAATGGTAGAGGGAAAACATACCTGGCATATGCAAGGCCATAGGGTCAACCCTAGTACTGCAAAAGAAGAAAAGTACATTGAAGGGTGCATGTAGTTCATATGCAACTATTACCCTGATTTTTGTAAGAGACTTGGGCATCCTGGGATTTTGGTCCAGAACCCATCCCTCGAAGACACCACAGGAATATCTTACTTTAGAAGACAGCACAGACCTTACAGTACTGAAAGTGCTTTTCTTGGGCCAAATGAGAAGGTATACGCCTGTGATTCTAGCACTCAGGAGGTTGAGACAGGAGGATAGAGACCACATCTCACAAAATAAATAACCCATATATTCCTTACTTCGATCTTGGAATCCTTGTTCTGTTCTTAATTTTTTAAGATTTATTTATTTTTATTTTATGTGCATTGGGGTTTTGCCTGTGTGTATGTGTGTGTGAGGATGCCAGATCCCCTAGAACTGGAGTTACACAGTTGTGAACAACATGTGGGTGCTGGGAATTGAACCGGGGTCCTCTGGAAGAGCAGTCAGTGCTCCTAACCACTGGGTGTCTCTCCAGCCCCTTAGCACTATTCCTATGTGGATTTTGAAGGCAGAGAAAAAGTGGTTCTGAGAATCTGGTGATTTACCCAAGGTCACACAGTGACAGAGCTTCGGTTCAAAGCTGGGCAGCCTAGCAAGGATGTTGCAGAAGCTTATGAAACACGTTATTCCCAACCCTGGAGCACGTGCTTTCTGTCACTGTCCTGTCTCCTCTCTCTGTTCCTTTCTGGTAGTGTGGGAGTAAGGATGTTGTCAACAAGGCCTTAAGAGACTCCGACTGTCAACAAGTTTTTGTGTATTTTGGATGGTCTCTCAGATCCAATTTCTCAGTCAAAGGACATAGGCAATTTTCAGGTTCTTGCTCCATGTTGTCTCACTTGAGGAAATACTGTGTCATTTGCATGCTTGCTCTCAGATGAGATACCATCTTAGCCAATAGCATGGGTGTGGTAGAGAGGAGATGCTTCCATAACTTCTGAGACCCCAAATTCTCGTATACAAGTCACATCAGCACATAGAACTTTCTAGAAAATTGGCAGTGAGTATGGACATGATTCCCAGGCCCCAGGGCCAGCCAAGGATTGTTATGGGAGGAACTGGGAGATTGTCTCAGGAGATGGTGCCTTGCTACAAATCCTCACCCCACTCCTTCCCTGCAAGCCCATGGGAGTCGTGTGTGTGTGTGTGTGTGTGTGTGTGTGTGTGTGTGTGGTGTACATGCCTGTGCATGTGTACGTGTGTGTGTGTGTGTGTGTGTATGTGTGTGTGTGTGTGTGTGCCTGGGCCATGGTGCACACTTAGAGGTCAGTAAACAACCTGATGTGTCTGTCTCTGCCTTACTCCTTGTTTGAGAGGGGCTCTATGTGTTGGCTTTCCCTGATGCATACACCTTCTGAGCTGATCCGTGACTTTCCCAGATTCTCCTGTTTCTGCCTCACATCTTGCTCTAGTAGCACTGGGATTATAGGCACACGCTGCCACACCCAGCTTTACATGGATTCTGATCCTCATGCTTGTGTGGCAAGTACTTTACCTACTAATCATCTCCCCAGACTCATTTTCTTTTCTTTCCCTTCTTCTTCTTCTTCTTCTTTTTTTTTTCAAGACAGGATTTCTCCACATAGCCTTGGCTGTCCTGGAACTCCTAGAACTCATTCTGTAGACCAGGCTGGCCTTGAACTCACAGAGATCCAACTGCCACTGCCTCCCAAGTGCTGGTATTAAAGGTGTGTGCTACCACCTCCAGACTTGGGAAATCATTCTTAAAGAAACATAGGACAGAACAATATTGCCCACCAAGGAGGAGCTTGTCCAGTCCAAAGCCTGATACCAGCCAATAGGATACTGTAGCCTAATATTGTGATGGTTAGCAGACTGTAGCCAAGTGGGTTATATCCAACCTAAGAGATGGTTCCCGTGTTGGCCCTATAGGCAATAGTCACTGTGAGTCTGTCTCAAGACTTCCACAGAGGAGCATGGAGCCTAATCAATGATGATTGGACAGTGAACTCCATATTACTGAGGATGGAGGAAAAGCCACAAGAATGGGAAACGTGGGTAAGGATCCCAAATAAAGGATATTTCTGAGAACTCACTGAACAGGCTTTGGAAGAAATAGTCAGGGGGTGGTGGTGGTGGCACACACCTTTAATTCTAGCACTTGGGAGGCAGAGGCAGGCAGATCTCTGTGAGTTCAAGGCCAGCTCCTACAGCTCCAAATACGAGACCAGATCTCCCTTTCCTAGCTGGTCCCACAAGATTAGGTCTTTCCCTGGGAGCCCGTCAGTTCAGTCACTACCCTGGTCTCACCAAGTGACCCTTCTCATGGTTGCCTTTAGGTCTAGACTCCAGCTGGAACCTAAGACTGGGGTCCTCCCCACACTGACTACCTGTCCCTGACACAGTCCGACCTATGACGATGCTGCCTGAGAAACCTGGGTAGAGCAGCATATGCTGGACTCTGCACACAGCACAGGCAATCAGGGAGGCCAAGAGCTCTTAAATGCACAGGGAGGACATCCGGACGCTGAGGGACCCATCAACCCGTGTTCTGCTCCAGTCTTGGCACATACTCAATTCGTGAAGCTTGACTCGAGCTAGCCAAACTTTAAGCCATTGCCAAATGAGCAAACTGGGCAGGGATTGCAGGCAAGCCCGTTTGGTCGAAGAGCCAAAACCATATAGTATGACCTGTCACCCCAAAGAGGAGGGACAAGACTCCACATCTGGTGAGAAGCTGGTCATAACTCCTCCAGCCCCAGCCCCTGGTGATGGGAATCAAGAAGATAAAAGCCGAACCTTCCGGTGCTTGAACACTGCAGTCACAGCTCCCTTCTGCCCCCATAAGTGCCCATGGCAGAAGCTGGCTGGACCATGAAGTGGACTCTGGGCTTGAGCCTCACCCTGTGCCTGGTAGACCAGATGGCCTTAGGTAAGTCCTTCATCCCTCTGAGGGGTGACAGCACCAGCTCAGCCTCTTCTGGACAGTGGGGCTTAGACATGGTCTAGGCAGATGGAAAGCAGTGTTTCAGAGCACTCATGTGCTACCAGTTAGAAGTCTGAGCAAATCATTTGTCCTCTCTGAGCCCCATGACTGCTCTGAAAAGTGGGGACTGTGTCTCCTACCTCCTGGGATCAGTGAGGGACCTGAGAACATGCCATGTCCACGTCCCTTCTTCTGACCTTTACTCACTCCTTCCTGCCTTCTTTCTTCGAAGAAGAGTCCCACTTCTGCCTCCCCTGTCCTACAAGGCCTCTTTACTATCTGTACCTTTCTCCTCAATGTCCTCTTTCTAAAATTAATGTTATCCTCTGAACTGTGAAAACAAAATAACACATTAACAACCATTTGTTAGGTGTTAGATATACATACAGCAAAACGACATATCTAAACTATATGATTATATGTATAACTATATGTAGTTATATGGTGTGTGTGTGTGTGTGTGTGTGTGTGTGTGTGTGTGTGTTCCTGCTCGTGTATGCCACAACACACTTGTGGAAGCCAGAGAACAAATTGCAAGAGTCAGTTTTCGCCTTCTACCAAATGGATCCCAGAGATCAAACTCAAGTCATTAGGCTTCCCAGCAAGCACCCTTATCCACTGAACCATCTTCCTGGCTACCGTTTAATACTCTGCTTATTTTTTCCCTTAAATTCTTATGGTAGGCAGTGTATTGCTTAAGTTTATATTTACTTTGCTTAATTCATGGATATTAATGAGGCTCTGGCATCCACTGAAGTTAAAATCAGTCTTTGCTTTCATGAAGTGGCCCATCAGAAGCTAGAGATGTTACAGATCCTGATCAGGATGTAACGTGTGTGTAACTAGCATCATGTAGAATTGTACAAGTGGGCATTTTGCTGTGTACATATCTTAGACTTCAATAAACTGTTGTTAATGTATTATGTTTTCATCGTTCATTTTCAAAAAATACATCTTGTTTAAAGAGAAATCACTTAATCAAAGCATATGAACATTTTATGGCTCCTTGCATACTTTTTAAAAATTTATTTATTTAATATGTATGCAGTGTTCTGCCTGATGAGGGCACCAGATCATAGATGGTTATAAACCACCATGTGGTTTCTGGGAATTGAACTCAGGTTCTCTGGAAGAGCAGCCAGTGCTCTTAGCCTCTGAGCCATCTCTCCAGCCCCCCCCCCCTTGTATGTTTTTCCAAGTTGTTTTTCCAAGGTGTTACATCAATTTGTCCTTCACCAACAATACGTGAATGTTCTTTTCACTGTATCATTTCCAGAATTTGGGTGCCATAACTTGTTAATTTTTCAGGTGTCATCTGTAACTCTAGGCCTTAATAGTACTTTATGGATACGAGTAAGGTGGATATTGGTGATTTAAAACAATTTGAATTAAAAATTTTAAGTGTGTGTGTGCACACACACGAGTGAGCGCAGGAGGGAGGATACAGTTATAGGTATGCACACATGCGTGCCCACAGAGACCAGAGGCACCTCATCTCCTGGAGTTACTTAAAGATGATTGTGAGCCTCCTGTGATAGTTGCTGGGAAGAGAAGTGTTCTTAATCGCTGAGACCTCTTTCCATTCCCGGGAAAACTGATTTTTATTTCATATAGTTGCTTGTGGGGTTTTTCATTTTTGCTTTTTCCCCCCCAGATAAGGTCTCACTGCATTGCCTTGGTCCTGAACTCTGTGTGTGTGTGTGTGTGTGTGTGTGTGTGTGTGTGTGTGTGTGTGTGTGTAAATGCAGGCTCAGGAGACAATCTTGAGTGGATGTCAGTCTTTCTGCCTTGTTTGACACAGGGTCTCTTTGTTGTTTCTTGTCCCCAGCTTGGTATCCCAGTCTAGCTGACCCAAGAGATTCAATCAATTCTCCAGTTTCCACTTCCCCTCTCCCTGTAAGAGCAGTGAGATTAGACACCTGTGCTATGCATTCAGCTTGTATGTGGGTTCCAAGGAATAAAACTGTGGTCTGGCCCTGCACTCAAGCACCATCTCCCCAGCCTTGAACTTGTGATCCTCCTGCCTCTGCCTCCCAAGTGCCTGATTGCAGGTGTGCCACCCCGCCTGGTTTGGAATATTGTTTTCATAAATGCGTCTGTCCTCTCTCTGGATAACAGAGCAGTCATTGAACTTCCCATGTTGCTCTTGTTCAGCAGTCTAGAAGAACTCTACCATGTGGTTGTGACTGACTCCCCAGACCGGGGAGTTGAAAAAACATCACGGTTTACAGCAGTCATGAGACATTCTCTATGTGTTGTGGGACACGTTACACAAACCTTTGAGTTTATTTCCACATGTCTATAGAAAGAATTGGGGAACCAGAGTGATGGTACACATCTATCATGCCAGATTGTAGAAGGCTGAGACCAGAGGATCATGAAGGCTGTTTGTGTGTGCATGCATATGTTTGTGGTGTGTGTGAACACATGAATACAGATATGGCCATGCAAATAGAAGCCAGAGAATGACATTGGGTGTCCTGTTCTATCTTTTGTTTTCCTTTGAGATGAGGTCTCTCACTGAATGTGGAATGTGTCATTTTTTGGGAAGGCTCACTGGCTAGCAAGGCCCAGAAAGGATTGTGAGTTCAAGGTCAGTTTGGGCTACAATAAATAGCAAGACCTTGTCTCAGAAACAAAAATAAAAGCAAAATTCTACTGGGCAGTGCTGACACATGCCTTTCATTCCAGCACTAGGGAGACAGAGGCAGGGAGATCTGTGTGAGTTTAAGGCCAGCCTTATCCACAAAGTAAGTTCCAGAACAGGCTCCAAAGCTGCACAGAGCAACTCTGTCTAAAAAAAAAAACAAGCCAGGTGGTGGTGGTGGTCACCTTTAATCCCAGCACTTGGGAGGCAGAGACAGGGGGCTCTCTGTGAGTCGAGGCCAGTCTGGTCTACAGAGTGAGTTCCAGGACAGCTAGGGCTGTTACACAGAAAAACCCTGTCTCAAAACACCAAAGTACAAAAATATCAAAAATCCAGGCATGGTGGTATACACCTTTAATCCCAGCACTTGTGAGGCAGAAGGCCTAGGAATCTGGTTTATATTGGATTTTTTTAAAACAAGGCCTTGAACTTATGTAGCCAAGGATGATCTTCAATGCATGATCTTCCTGCACTAGGATTTCTAGTGTGTGCTACCTTACCTGGCTTGGGAATCCATTTCCTTTCTTCTTTCTTTCTTTCCTTTCTTTTTATTTTGGCTTCAATTTCTAAATGATTCTGATACATGGCTAGGATAAGTAACAACTTAGATGGCATTTGCTTTCTGTCACTTTACTGAATGAACTACAAGGAACAAGAACAAAGAGCAATTCTGTTTTGATAAGGGAGGAGAGAGAGAAACCAAGAGGGCACTTAGAAAGGAACAATGGACGTGAGGCCTTGCCAGCACTTGGCAGTAGAAGTGGGGCAGGAGAAGAGCCTGGAAGAGGAGGAGTACTCTTAGGCAAAGGCTATATTCAACCTGGCCTATTTCATATCTATTCCAAAAGTTGCCTGTGGTGTGAGTGTGCTTGCAGTGTGTGTGTGTGTGTGTGTGTGTGTGTGTCCACTTGTATGCATATGGGATAGCCCCTGTAAGCATGCATTTGTGTGTTTCTCATGCATGCCTCTGTATTATAAATCTGCAAGGGTGCATCGATGCAAATGTGTACGAGTAAGAATGTGGATAGATAATTCCAACCATCCCAGAAATGAACCAGGCAGGGGCTGGGGAAGTGACTCAGTCAGTAAAATGTCTTCTTCATTAAGTGTGAGGACCTGAGTTTGGATGCCAGAGCCGATATGAAAAGCTGTGGGGTGCATGGCTGTAACCGCAGTGCTGAAGGAAAAGCAGGCGGGTCCCTGGGGCTTGCTGGCCACCCAGTCCAGTCACTCAGTAAACTCAAGGCTCAGTGAGAAACCCCGTTTCAAAACTAAGATAAACAAGTGTGGAAGACACCAGAAATCAACCACTATCCTAAGCAGGTGGGTCCCTGGGGCTTGCTGGCCACCCAGTCTAGTCACTCAGTAAACTCAAGGCTCAATGAGAAACCCTGTTTCAAAAATAAGATAAACAATTGCAGAAGACACCAGAAATCAACCACTATCCTCCGTATGCATGTGTACAAACACCACCACGGGCACATTTATATGGACACAAAGACATACATACACACCACAGAGGGAGACAAGCAAATGAAAAAGAAACTGATCAAAAAACTAATTAAACAAATCAGCAACCAGGAAAGAAAAGGTGTAGCCATGTTCATATCAAACAGAAGTTAAAATAAATGCCCCTTTCAGCCCTGCATGGTGGCTCTTGCCTTTAATACCAGCACTTAGGAGGCAGAAGCAGGTGGACCTCTGTGAGTTCAAGGCCAGCCTGATCTACATAAGGAGTTCCAGAACACTCAGGGCTACATTATAGAGAGAACTTGTCTTCTTTTTTTTCTTTCCCTTCTCTCTCTCTCTCTCTCTCTCTCTCTCCCTCTCTCTCTCCCCGTTTCTTAGTTGCTGTTGCTGTTGTTTTTGTTTTTTGAGACAGGGTTTCTCTGTGTGGCTTTGGAACCTGTCCTGGAGCTCACTTTGTGGAACCAGGCTGACCTTGACCTCACAGAGATCCATCTGACTCTGGCTCCCAAGTACTGGGATTAAAGGCATGAGCCAACACCACGTGGCCGAGACTTTGTCTTAAATAACTAAATAAATAAACAAACAAATAAATGTCCCTTTAAATGACACAAAGAGAAATGTGTTATATAACAGACATGAACTTTTATGTACTTACCAGCATGACTTTGAAATCTTAAATAATGAAGAAAATCCTCATAGACGTACAAGAGAAATAAATACACAATTGTTATTTTTAAACTTCCAGGAGTTTTTAATTGTTGTTCTAAGATACAGCACTAGTCCGAGGAGGTGGCTTAGTGGGTAAAACACTTGCTGCATGATCATGAGGACCAGAATTCAGATCCCCAGAACCCATTTAAAACACTGGATGGTTTTGCCTGCAATCCCAACCCAGAGCCAGGAATCCCTGGAGCAAGCTATCTAATCAGACTAACCAAAACAACAAGCTCTGGTCTTGGTGACAGATGGTAGAAACGGTAGAAAATAGTCAACTAAGATCCCTGATGTTAACCTCAAGTTTCAGTATGCACAAGCACATATGTGCACCTACACACCACATGCATGCACTTACACACATGAATGCACACATACACTAAAAAGTAGTAGTTGCAGCTTGAAAGATGGCTCAGCAGTTAAGAGCATTGGCTGCTCTTCCAAAGGACTTGGATCCAATTCCCAGCACCCACATGGTGGCTCACAACTGTCTGTGACTCCAGCTCCAGGGAATCAAACAGCCTCGCACAGACATGAATGCAGACATAAAATAAAATTAAATGAAAGTCCTTTTTTTTTAAGTAGTGATTGAGAGCTGGGGAGATGGCTCAGCAAAGAAGCCAGATTCAATTCCCAGCACCCACATGGCAGTTCACAGATGTCTGTAACTCCAGTTTTAGAGAAATGGATGCCCTGTTCAGCATGTGATACAAAGATGTACATGCACACAAAACACTCACAAACATAGGATTTTTAAGTATCCAAATAATAGTGCATTGGTTGATTATATATATATATTTATATCATATATATACCTGTGTGTGTGTGTGTGTCTGTGTGTGTGTGTGTGTGTGTGTATGTGCATATATAGCAGCAGCAGCAGCTACCCAGGCCTGGTAGCACACTCCTGTAATCCCAGCATTTGGAAGGCTGAGGCAGAAGGGTGATGGGTTCAAAACCCACCTGAGTTATGTAGTGAGACTCTGGAGAGAGGTGGGGAAAGAGAGAAGGGAGGGCAAGGCCAAGTTGAATAGATCCCGTGGCAGATGTACCAGAATTCCATCTGTGGCTGACAATAATGAGACAGGATGACAGTCCCTCTTCTCTTCCCAGGGGCTTTGCACACCAACGAACCTCTTGTGGTCACCAAACATGGGATCCTACAAGGAAAGCAAACACATGTGGGAAACATAACCATCCAAGTCTTCCTGGGAGTCCCCTTCTCCAAACCTCCCGTGGGTGCCCGCAGGTTTGCTCCTCCGGAGCCCCTGCAGCCCTGGAACGGCATCAGAGATGCCACCACCTACCCACCTTCGTAAGTGCCAGAGGATTGCGGGCTGGTAGATGAGCAGACCTGATGAGTAGGGTGGACCAGTGCCTAAAATAACTCACTAGAAACACAGTGTGTGACCACAGCAAACCTGAGGCCCATTCTTGGCCTCAGTTTCCAAACCTATGTAATGAGGAAATTAGACCAAATGGCATTTAAGGCACTGATTGTACTGTTTGTTTTCTCGTGAGGGAGCTCTGGACAAGAGAAATGTGGTCACTGGCTGTGCCACAGGGCCTTCTAGGAAACTGGACTTCCCAAATGCCTCCCACCTCCAGTTCTCATTCACACCCCAGGCATACGAATGATGGGCTCCTGCTTTATAACAAACCCACGCGGTACTGTCAGCCACGCCCTGAAGAGGGCGCTCCAAGATGGGAACCACAAGGACTGTTGGAGCTTTCAGGGTCTGGTGTCTTGCTGCCACCTACAGCCTTTGCATAACAAAACTTGAACAAGCCCTGGATTTGGCAGTTAAGTCAAAACAAGTGTATTTACTGTTTATTTAGACTACTGAATAATCAACTGAACATAACATTGTGTGGCAATCATTAACAATGTTTATCATCAGCACAGGGTTTAAAACCTGGGTGCCAAATGATATGTTTTTAAAAAGCCTTATAACTCCCACTTGAATGTCTATTTGTTAGGAAGAGTTCCACTGTTAGGACATGATCAGCCACAGGCCAAAGGTTGTTCTCCATGCCAACAACCATGGGAGAGGTACAGGTTCAATCTCAATAGATAGATAGATCAAGCCCCAGACATTCTGACCATTCTCTGGTTGTTATTTGGAATCCCTGTTGTCAGAACATGGTATGACCATTATCTGAAACTTGAAGGTGAGGTTTGGGGGTGAGTGTGCCCATTGTATACACATGTGGGTGTCAGTCATTGGAACTTGATATAAGCTGTCAGAACAAGAGATGTTTAGACACCAGGATGTAGTGTCGCATGCCTTTAATTCCAGTACTCAGGAGGCAGAGGCAGGTTGATCCCTGAGTTCGAGATCAGTCTGGTCTATAGAGTGAGTTCCAGCACAGCCAAGGCTGTTGCACAGAGAAATCTTGTCTCACACACACGCAGAGAGAGAGAGAGAGAGAGAGAGAGAGAGAGAGAGAGAGAGAGAGAGAGGTTTAGAACTTAGAGAGTCAAGTATAAGAATGTAAGAATGTGTGGATTACTTAGACCATTCTAGAGGACAACAATTAAGGGAGAGAGAAATGATGGCTTCCCCGTAGAAGTCATTGGATTCTAAATTTATTTCAAAGGAAAAGATAATAGTATTTTCTGGAGAACTGGATATGAGTCACATGAGAAAAAAAAGAAGAATTTAATATAATGACTACATTTTTGTTCAAGAACTAAGGGTGCCATGTCCCAAAATGGTGAACACTAGGACAACAGCAGGTTTGGGCAAAATAAGAGAAAATTCATTAGACTATCAAGCAGGTTGGCACACATCGATAATCCCAGTAACTAGAAGGTTGAGCAAGAAGATCAGGAGTTCAAAGTCAGCAAGTTTGAGGGTACCCTAGGCTATTTAAGACCATATCTCTAAGAAAAGAGAGGAGAGCCAGGTTTTCTGGCTCGCCTTTAATGCCAGCACTTGGGAAGCAGAGGTCAGGCAGATCTCTATGAGTCTGGGGCCACCCTACTCTATATACTGACTTCCAGGCTAGCTAAGGCTACATAGTGAGACCTTGTCTCAAAGATAAATAAACAACAACAGTAATAATAAAAATAATAAAGTTTGGGACTGGATAAATGACTCAGGATTTAAGATCACTGACTGCTCTTCCAGAGGACCTGTGTTAGATCCTTGGTACCCATACGGAGGCTCACAGCCTGTCTGAATTCCAGTTCCAGGAGGATCCAATCCTCTTCTTCTGGTCTCTGCAGGCATCGCACACACACGGTGCACACACACATATGCAGGCAAAACACCTATACGCATAATATAAAAATAAATAAAACCCCCAAAAGTTTTTAAAGAAAAAGGAGAACCTGTGCTTCATAGCAATTTCAAGGCTAGTCTGGGCTATAAAGTGAGACATGGTCTCAAAAAAGCAAAAAAGAAAAGAGAGAGCTAAGAGAGATAGAAACTTGAGCTCTCTTGTGCTTAGACCTGGGTCAGCAGGAGGATCCATCAGGGACACAGGGGGAAGAGCTGGAGAGCAGGATGGTATAGAAACTGGAGAGGGAATGCTGCTCAACAAAGGGCGGAGCACTTGGTCATCCACATTGAGGATCACTCCGGTGACCATGACAGGAGTGACTTTGACGATGTGATGGGGACAGAAATCTCAGCTGTTTTTAACTCCAGTTCTTGACTATAGCTGCCAGCAAGAAATCAAGCAAGGAGGGAGGGAGGGGCCTGTAGAAATGGCTCGGCAGTTAAGAACACTTGCTGCTCTTGCAGAAGACCAGGGTTCCATTCTCTGCACATGGCAGCTTACAACCATCTTTAGCTCCAGTTCCAAAGATTTAAGCACCCTCTTCTGGCCTTCACAGGCACAAGGCACAAACTTGATGCACTTACATAGAAGCAAAACACTTCCACACATAAAATAAAAATTCATCTTTTTCTTTAAGTTAAGCAAGGGACTGTCAAGATAACTCAGCGAGTAAAATTATTGCTTTTCAAGCATGAGGACCTGAGTTTGGTCCCCATCAACCATGAAAGAACATGGAAGTGTGTGCTTGTAATCCTAGCACTGGGGAGGTAGAGACAGAAGGATCCCTGGGGTTCACTGACCAGCCAGTCTGGCCTAATTGATGAACTCCAGGCAATGAGAGACCCTGTTTTAAAGTAGTCAGATGGTATTTCTGAGGATGTCATCAAAGGTTAACCTCTGGCATCCAAATGCATATTCACGAATATGCACATTCACTTGTACATACACACCTGCATGCATGCATACAAACGTACACACACACTCACACACACACTTTTTTTTTCAAAAAGGAAGAGGGCCAGTGATAGGGCTCAGCAAATAAAGGTTCTTGCCACCAAGCTTGATGACCTGAGTTCCATCCCTAGGACCTACAAGGTAGAAGGAAAGAACTGATTCCCAAAAGGCCCTCTGACTTCCATACATACACCATGACACAAACAAATAGATAAATGTAATTTTAAAATTAGTAAAAGGAGAAAAAGAAGTCAAACAGAAGTATTGCCTGGGGCTGGAGAAATGACTCAGTGGTTAAGAGCACTGGCTGCTCTTCCAGTGGTCCTGAGTTCAATTCCCAGCAACCACATGGTGGCTCACAACCATCTGTAATGATATCTGGTGACCTCTTCTGGCCTGCAGTCATATATGCAGACAGAATGCTGCATACATAATAAATAAATAAGTTTTTAGAAAAAAGATGGAGAGGGAGGAGAAGGAGAGGGAGAAGGAGAAGAAGGAGGAGGAGGAGGAGGAGGAGGAGGAGGAGGAAGAAGAAGAAGAAGAAGAAGAAGAAGAAGAAGAAGAAGAAGAAGAAGAAGAAGAAGAAGAAGAAGAAGAAGAGTTGTTGCCTAGAAATAGAGCCCCTGCCTACCATTCACAAGAACCTGGATTTGATCCTGGCACTACAAATTTTCAAAGGAGGGGGAAGTAAAGCAAAGATCAAAGGCAGAGCTATGAAGCCAGGCATAGTGATACAAGTCTGTAATCCAAGCACTTGGGAGATGGAAGTAGGAGGGTCAAGTGTTCAAGATCAACCTCAACTACATGGTAAGTTCAAGACCATCCTGGGTTACATGAGACCCTGTCTCAGAAGGAAGGAAGGGAGGGAGGGAGGGAGGAAGGAAGGAAGGAAGGAAGGAAGGAAGGAAGGAAGGAAGGAAGGAAGGAAGATATATACTGCTTGCTGGTGACCTTTGAAGAAAGAGGCCAGGTGAGTTAGGATACGATTGGCTGGAGTTTATCCTGATGCTGGGGAAATGGACTTAATTAGTAAAAACACTTGCCTCACAAGTATGAGGTCTTAAGTTCAGGCCCCAGAACCCACATTAAAAAGCCAAGAGCCTAGGCAAGAATTTGTAATGTCAGTACTGGGGCAACAGAAACAAGAAGATCCCTTTGGCTCACTAGTCAGCCAGTCTCAACTACTCAGCCAGAATCAAGTCATTGAGAGACCAGCCTTTTTAAAAAATGAATGACAACAGAGATTTTTCTCTGGCCTTCACGCACATGCATTGACCTGTACACACAAACACAAAAGAAAAAAATGGAAGTGTGACCTTGTAGGAAGAGATCTCGGATGGCTGCTAATAAAGGTGATTGGGAGATGATAGTTGGGATAAGGCAGGTTGAAAAGCTGTGGGAAGGACATATGAAAAAGGGAAAGGGAAGGTAGCCTGGGACAAGAGGAGAACTAAAAGGAGGAACAGGCAGATAGGGATTCCAATCAAGTAAGGCCAGCCCCAGACTTGTAAGAATAGCCATTCCAGCAGCGGAGAGGAGGGAGGTGGCCATATAACCCATACTCTTCAAATACTCTGTAAGTCCACACGGTGCTTGACTGAGTGCTAGGACATGCTGTCATTGTACATTCAAAGAGTGGTTGAGTCACCCAGAAGAGAAACAATTAATTGAAATAATTTCGACCAGCACTACAGTCAAGAGTGGAGAAAGGTTTGCAGGACACAGATGGAGTGCCCGTAAGAGGGGATACCACTTGAGTTGACCTTAAACAGAAGTAGGAGATTGCTGGGCAAGAAGGAAAGCATTTGGCAGAAGTCAGAGAGGCACAAGGGCTTGGAAATCAGAGGCAAGCGACCATGTCTATGAGGAACAAAGGATGGCTGGTGAGATGACTGGATGGAAAGGAGGGTCTAAGTCAGACTGAGGGTGTGTGAACTTTTTCCTCTGAAGGCAGTAGAGAGCTGGGGAAATTGGTTTTGGGGAGGTGGATCCTTCCATGGTAGCTAAGGCTACCCAGAATAGCCTTGATTCCAGGTGTCAGCCACTATGGCTCACAAGGAAGTCTTGGGTTTTTTTGTTGTTGTTGTTTTGGTGTTTTTTTTTTAAGATTTTATTTATTTTGTATACAGTGTTCTGTCTGCATGTATGCCTTCAGGCCAGAAGAGGGCATTAGATCTCATTACAGATGGTTGTGAGCCACTATGTGGTTGCTGGGAATTGAACTCAAGACCTCTGGAAGAGCAGTCAGTGCTCTTAACCTCCAAGCCATCTCTCCAGCCCCCACAAGGAAGATTTTAAAGAGGGCAGTGCCATGGTCCACATTATGTCTTACTTTGTTTTTAATCACTTTTATCAATGTCCTCCGAAGAACAAGTTAGAGAACTGTCAAGAGGTTGGGGCTGTATGTGGTCAGACCACAGATCTGATGGTCTTGACAAACAGTGGCCCTGTGTTTGGAGTGGAGAAACATGTTCTAGGGCTCCTCAGCCTGCTTGGGAGATAAAAGAGTCTGGGACACCCAAGTTTCGACCTTGATCTCACTGGCCATCTCCAACAAGAACAAAGACTACCCGGGCTAAGCAGTGAAGGGCAAAACACATGGTAGAAGACAGGATGGATTCTAGGGAGACCTGCCTGCCTCATGGCCCTAGACCTGACCACTGGTGACAGACTCCAGGAGGCATGCATGCAGAGCCCGCCAGGCTTTTGTCTTAGGTTGTCCTCCATCACTGCTGACTCCGGGATTTAAAGTATTCTCTTCACTGCCAATCCAAATTCACTGCATGCCCACAGGTGCCTTCAGGAAACCTGGGGCCAGATAACTTCCATGTACTTAAACACGCGGAAACAGTATGAGTGGCTGCACTTCAGTGAGGACTGTCTCTACATGAACGTTTATGCTCCAGTGCTCGCGCCTGGGGACCCGCTGCTGCCGGTGAGTACCATGTTTTCCACCACCCGCCATTCCCCTCTACTACCCTACAGCCAAACTCAGACTCTGGAGACCTTTCTTGCCCAGGTGATGGTTTGGTTCCCTGGAGGCGCCTTCCTCGTCGGCTCTGCTTCCACCTACGAAGGCTCAGAGTTGGCCGCCCGCGAGAAAGTGGTGCTGGTGTTTTTGCAGTACAGGCTGGGCATCCTGGGCTTCTTCAGGTGGGCCTTGGACCAGGGGCGGGGTTTTCACCTACCTGTCGGAGGCACAGAAGGCGGGGACTGGCGGAAGGGGTGTGGTCCGTGGGCGGAGCCTAGTGAAGAGGGTAGTTCGAGCTGTAGAGACCCTGGATACTGTCTCACGAGTGAGTCTAAGGAAGGCTTAGGTAGGGAGCTTTGGCAGCTCTCTGAATCCTGACCATCGAAGTTTGAAACACTGACTATGACTCTCGTGTGCCTAGCACGGGCGACAGCCACGCCCGCGGGAACTGGGGGCTGCTAGACCAGATAGCGGCTCTGCACTGGGTTCAGGAGAACATCGAGACCTTTGGAGGAGACCCGGACAGTGTAACACTATTTGGCCAGTCGGCGGGAGCCATGAGCGTCTCAGGACTGGTGAGTGCGATTTCTATTGGACCAGTAGAGACACCGGCCAGCATGTTCCCACACTGCACAGGAACATGTGCAGAACCTGTGTGTCCACAAACCTGCCAAGGATACCATTCACGTCAAGGGCACAGACGCTCACAGCCAAGGGTACTTTCTCTTCAAGAATAGTACCCATCGAGGCCGTTGAGATGACTCAGTGGGTTGCCAACCAGGCTGATGACCAGAGTTCAGTTCCTAGAGCTCACAAGGTGGAACTGGCTCCTGCGACTTGTCATCTGACCAGATTTCTGCCATACACACTAAAATGATTTTCTTGAAAAGGAAAAAAGAGTAACAGTGATGAGGAATCCAAGTTCCAGCAATGAAAGGGTAAGGCACTGTGGGTGCCTACCACCCCTTGCTTCCCTCAGAGCCCTTGCTTCTAAACAGAGGTCAGCATTTACCTTCTGGACAGGGCTGTCACGTCTGCTGCGCGGCCTGTGTCCGAGAACGTGCGGAGGGTGTCGGGGATTGACAACACAGAGACTCGTTCAATGATGTAAAGAAAACTTTAAACAGGCTCCAAAAAGGTTCAAGAAAACCTCCTAAGAAAAGCTCCCACCAGAGAAGCTTCTGCTCTCTCCTCTATCCTGGCTGGTTCTGCTCTGACACCAGAGGTGGATGTGTGTGGGTTTTTTGAAGGTGCGGTTAGTCTTTGGACAAGGTCGAGGTGAGGGCGGTTTCCTTGGGAAGGCCTTTTCCAGGAACTTATTGTATCGTTTTTAGTAAACATGTTTTTACTAAACATTGTCTTACAGCTGCCTACTCCCAGGCAGAAGGGGAAGTGGGTCTCTGCTCAAGGTCTGGTGTTCCCACACAGGGCTAGTGACAGCCTGTGTCTGGAAGTCAGGGCCCTGTATCGGAGACTTCACAGGGGTGGCGGTGAGCAGGAATCACATCAAGTATGCTCATGAGGGCCACAGTAGTAATAAGGCTCAAACACCTGAACACTTTCTGTGTGACTATGTGTATTACTTTATCTAATTCCCCCAGCGTTGTGGTTCTAAAATTTGAGGGGATGGAAGATTCACAGCTAACCTTATCTTCATAGTAAATTTGAAACCAGCATGGACTATATGTAACACACACACACACACACACACACAAAGTCCAAAGAGACAGGCAGATCTGATCTGTGATTCCAACATTCCAGAGGCAGACCTGAAATGCCTAGCCAGCCTGAGCTACACAGCAAGGCCCTCCCTGTCCAAAACTAACAAGTCAATTGGCAATAATAATTACAACAGTAAGTCCAAGTAGAAAAGCACTGTCTTCATGTCACAGATGAAACCCCGGTGCACAGACAAGTGAAGCATCTCTTCTTCAGTGTACTAGACAGCCTGGACAAGGCTTTTCTGTGTGGTTTGGTTTGGCTTGGATATTTTTGTTGTTGTTTGTTGACACTGGGTCTCACTCTGCTTCCCTTGCTGGCCTCAGACTTGGTGTTTAACCAAGCTAGTCTGGAATTTGCTATGTAGACAAGGTTGGTCTCAAACTTGTGGCTTGCAGCCATCCTCCTAAGAGCAGGGACAGATTTGAATCAGGGAAGTGATAAGAGCAGCTGTCTCTCGGTCTTCTGCATGGAACTGAGCTAGAAATAAGCAGAAATTCCAACTTGGAGGCCCAGTTGGGAGATGAAGGAGCAGGGTTTGTCCCAGAGGAGACAATGAGGGTAGGAAGGCTGGAGAATAAAGGATGGTTGCTGAGTGATTCCCAAGGCCAAATGGTCAGGACTGGAATGGCTACATGTGGCAGAGGGCAGAGAAGGGACAGCCCCCAAGCTGGGTGGATAATGTCAAAAAAGGAGGTTCTACACAGTTGGAGATTAACTAGAACAGGTTTAAGACACATCAGTTCTGAGGCATCCAAAGATATAACTTCTCTAAAATAGCTGTTAGCATGGGTAATTGGAGGTGTGACTATGGGTCCCACTTGCCCTCACTTATAACCTGTAGCAGAGAAAGACACCCCCCCCTTATGCATATCCTCAGGTCAACTCTGAGGCCTCTAGAACCCACTACATAACCGGGCGTTGGTGACACACGCCTTTAATCCCAGCACTCGGGAGGCAGAGGCAGGTGGATCTCTGTGAGTTCGAGGCCAGCCTGGTCTACAGAGCTAGTTCCAGGACAGCCTCCAAAACCACAGAGAAACCCTGCCTCGATTGTAGGGATTGGAAACAGAACTACACTTTGGTCTATGTAGTGGAAGATGCTGGCTTTAAGTCTAGGATTCCAGCCTAAGACCCATGGCTCCCTCCAAGATGCTCATCTCTCAGGCTACTCAGAAATGGTTAGGCAGGCACCCAAAACAACTCAGTTGGCCCTATTTGTGGATCTCATGGGTGTTCTGTTTCCAATCCCTACAGCTGATGTCACCCCTAGCCCAAGGTCTATTCCATCGGGCCATTTCCCAGAGTGGCACTGCGATACTGAAAGCCTTCATCACCCCTGATCCATTGAAGGCAGCCAAGGTGGGCATCACTTCTCTCCCAGGACTCAGTAAGAGGGAGGAAAGATGGAGGCATCCCTGTATACCTCTTCTCTCTACAGAAGATTGCTGACATGGCTGGCTGCAACCACAATAACACAAGGATCATGGTAGAGTGTCTGAGGGCTCTATCAGAGGATGAAATGATGCATGTTTCCAAGAGGATGGTAGGTAGAACATTCCAGTTGTCTTCTCTACCAGCCTGTGTACTACATCCACCCATAAATACTTCCCCAGGGGACCTGTCTCTGGAGCACATTGGGGGGTTTCTTTTCATTCTTATCTTCTTTTCTCCTTTATAGGCATTTTTTCATGCCAACCTCCAGAAAGATCCAAAAGATGTGAGTAAAGCAGTGGCCTGCAATTTGAGTGTTTATTGAATACCTACTGTGTGCCAGGTCCTTGGGATATTTGAAGAACCATGCAGGCCAGATTCCTTTCCCTAGTAGAACTGATACCCCATTCGAGAGAAAGATGATAGGCCCTATAAAAAAGTAAATTATTCAGCTTTCCAGAAGGCCATAGCAACAAGAGAAGGGGTCAGACATGGTGGAAGATGTGTAACTTTAAATAGAATGGATAATGCATGCCTCATTGAAATGATATTTTGTAAGGATTTTCATAAGGAATGACCTATGTGGATGCCTGGAGCAAGCATCTAAAGTCTGAGTAGCTGGTCCTGTCTGTCCTGGCCCCTCCCAATGCTCAACTTCCTAAGCATCATTATGCGCAATCTCAGTCTTTACCAAAAGAGCTTAAGCTTGAGCAACTCCTGAGACAGACCTGATGAGCTGAGCACCCAAGTCACAAAGGTCCCCAGAGGTTATGTGGGATGACTAGCTGGAAAATGCCCCTGGCCTTGCAGATTATATGGTTCCTGAGCCCTGTGGTGGATGGTGTGGTGTTCCCAGAGGACCCTGTGGTGCTCCTGACCCGCGGGCAGGTTATACCTGTGCCCTACCTTCTAGGTGTCAACAGCATGGAGTTCCAGTGGACCTTGCCTTTTGTGAGTGGATGGGAAAGGTGCTCACTCAGTGGGTTTGCAAAGGGGTACCCCTTGGATAGTTTTTGGCTACCAAGTTAGATCTCAGAGACCCCACTAAGGATGCAGAAGTTACCTGTATGCTCTGTTCAGGGAAAGCTGGTCAGGGATAATGGAGGGGAATTGGGAGCAGTGTAATCAACCCCTGAACCTGCAAACAACTATACACCTTAGGGGCCTCCTACACTGCCTGGGTCAGGGCAAATGCTGTAGCTCAAGACGGGCCCTTCCAGCTCTGCTTCAACTCAGAACCAGGTGGCAATGACAGACAGTGAGCAGGAAAGGTTGTTGGTCTTTCTTGGGCTATGTCTTGTCTGAGAATTCTGCATGCAGACAGGTCAGCGCTCAGACCTGATTCATCCCTGGGTCTTTTTCTTGCGAGCAGCTCATGAAGCTCCAGCTAACTCAGCGTGCAATGAACAAAAGATACTTCACTAAAATGCTCTGGAGTTCCAGCACCCTTCTGGTGAGGTGGGGGGGGGTCTCATGGTTTGGGTTCTTTAGTGTGAACAGGACTAAACACCACACACTCTTCTTTTAAAATGTAGGACCTGCTCCTGGGACAGGGTGGGATCATTCTTGGAGAGCCCTAAAGGAGTTTGGCATGAGATGGTTGCTGATGGGCAAAGTCTCCGAGGCACCCTTAGGGTCATAGACGGCAGTTCTCTCATGGCAAAAGTGGGGGGGGTAAGAATCAATCAAGATGGAGACCATCCTAGAAATCCCATTCCCAAAAGTCCTGGAGAGCTGAGGCTAGGTGCAAGCCAATGGCGTACCCACCCATGGCCTAGCTGCCATAGCAGGCCTCAGGGTAGGTCTTGCATCCTGGCCCAGAATATCACGAAGGAACAGGTCCCACTGGTGGTGAAGGAGTACGTGAATGACGCTGCCGATAAGCTTGACTGGAAGACAGTCCGAAACCACCTGATAGACCTAGTTGGAGATGCTACCTTTGTGTACACCACACTTCAAGCCGCACGCTACCACCGGGGTATGGGTCTCCTAAGGGTAACCGCACTGCTCCCCTGCCCTATCCAGCTGAGCTGCTTCCAGCTGGGGTCACCAGCTTTTCCCCTGCCCGCTTCATAGTTTGGGCCAGTATAGGACTCCAAGAGGCCACAGAGAAGGCAGCAAGCCAGAAGAAGAGCTGTTCATTAGGGATGAGGGCAGAGCCTCAGCCACCTGGAGGAGAAAGCTGGGGTGGCAGAGGTTAAGAAGATGGGCTTAAGAGCAACTTGAAAGGTGTACTGACTGGGTTTGGGGGATATGAGAATGAGAGGTCAAAGGTGAGGCTGGAAAGGTCAGCCATTAAAAGCCCTTAAATACCATGTCCAGAACAGAAAGCTCAAAACAAGGAAGAAGACAGCTTCCATGATCCTTGCCATAAGCTTGTCAATTGGGGTGTAGTGTCCCCAACTCTGCAGACGAGGAACTGCAGCTCAGAGTGTTTGAGTGACAGCATGCTGATGGCTAGTGTGGGCAGGATTCTAACTTGCTCCATGACTGGAGAGCTGGAGGCCTGCCTGATACCGGTGGGTGGGACACGTTGGGTATATAGATGGGGATATAGCTTAGGTGGAGGCTCTGCCTGCAGCCCTCACCCATTTCATTTATTCACAGATGCTGGTTTCCCTGTCTATCTGTACGAGTTCAAGCACCATGCTCCTTCACACATAATTATCAAACCTCGACATGATGGGGCAGACCACGGAGACGAGCTTTCCTATATCTTCGGAAGCCCTTTCTCCAAAGGTCCTAATGCCCTACCTGACACCTAGCTTCTCCACCATGTATAAAGACTCAAACGTCCATTGGCTGACCACAGGGAACTATCTAGTTTCTAGTGTGGAATGTATTCCCAAATGCAGAGTGGGAGGCTGGTACCCCCAGCTCTCTCCAAATACCACATCCTTTTCTGCCTCCAGGCTCATCCACTGGTGAGGAAAAGGAATTCAGTCTCCAGATGATGAAATACTGGGCCAACTTTGCCCGCACTGGGTGAGTCTAGCCCCTTACACAGATAAACAATAGTCGACCCACAGGAACTAGACAGTCAAGCCTGGGTCCTTCTCCTTGTCAGTCATGGGGTCCTAAATGTCCCTAGAACGTCCCTTCTGTCCCATGATGCACACTCAACATTCATTCATCCAATAGTATCTCACTGATGTTCTCCTTTGTATCTGACCCTAGCACTGGAAGATGGGGTTTAAAAAATGCCATAAGCATGTGGTATGTCCTCCTCACCCCACCATATGAAAACCAAATTCCAAACAGGCACATTGGGAGCTGTCCCCCTGGGAGCATCACGGATGGATCTGGTCCTATTTGAGTGACAGGGGTGGCTTCATGTGGAAGTGACACTTGAACTGAACTTTGGGTCCCCTATGCATATTTTCCTAGCCCCACCTTCCTCCCCCCATCATCTTGTGACACTAGAGGAGTTGTTCTGAAATATCATCTAACCAAGTTACTCACTTGCTTAAAACCCTTGCTCATGTTCTCAGCGTGAAACTCCATTCCCTCAGCTTATTGTGACAAGCCAAGAACTTTTCCTATGTCATCATCATTCCCTTTGCACACCCATCCTCTTTATATTCACCTTTATATCTTACCTAACCTTGTACTTCCTGGAAGCTCACTTCTCCCACTTCCTCCCTGGGACTTGCTATGCAACCTATGCTGGCCTTGAACTCACAACTCACCTTCCTCTGCCTCCCCGGTGCTAGGATTCTAAGTGTTCACCATCACACCTAGCTCTCCTACTCTTTCATAAAGAGCTGTCCAAGCATCATTGTCACAAAGCCTCCTTGGATCTCAGCTTCAGAGGGACGAGCTGAATAAAAAGGAGTGACAAGAATCTCTTTCCACCTTGGTTAGGGACCCCAATGGCAGAAAGCTGCCCTACTGGCCACGCTTTGACAAGGATGAAAAGTACCTGCAGTTGGATTTCGATACAAGCATCGGTGTGAAGCTCAAAGAGAAAAAGATGGCTTTCTGGAGAAGGCTGCGCCAGCCTCAGGGAACCTAGAAGCAGCAGCTACACTGAGAGTGGCCAAGCAAGAGGGAACTATCCTACCGTCCTGCCTCAAGGAGATTGGCCCCGATACATATGAGGACAGCAGTCCTATCCATTGAATGTAGGACCTGTAGAAGCCCGCAGCTGCCTTCAGGCTATAGCTGGAGCCCTAGCCCATGGTTTGGGGCTTAGCACCACCTGTCCAGCCTGACATCCCGTGACACTCCGTTTCTCACCGTCTAAACCAGGCCAGGGCCTTTGATCACACTGTGCTGTGCTCTCCCAACCTCAGCCTCAGGATAATCTCTTCTCTCCCCTTTCCAAGTCCTCTTACCCTTTATGATGTATTTGCAGCCCCCTCTTACGCAAAGTTCACACAGCTGTCACTTTCTGTCATTGCACCCTGCTATCATTGATCATCTATCCTTTTTAGCCTGCCTGCTCTGCTGGCCTTGAGGCCCCAAACAATCTATTCATTACAAGGCGCAAAACTTTGATGACTTGGTGTCTGTTCACCTACCCACACTCATCTCCAAAGTCTGTCCCTAGGGATAATGGTCAATAAAAGTGTGTTCTTTTGATCCTCAATTTCTCTCTCTGTGTGTAAAATGATTGGGTGAAATAGATGTTATCTCAGTGTGAGCCCTCAGAATAATAAAATATTGCTACTTGCTGCTTCTTGGGCTGTACTTGCTAGAGGGGCTGAAACAAAGTCATTTAGACTGCAAAACATTTGGCTAGTGCCAGCTGTGGTAGTTTCTAAAGGGGGTAGCCCCCTTCGGAGTCAGCACAGACACACCCAGACACCAAATTCTCAGCACAGAAGAGATTATTACCCCAGAGCGGCAAAGGAGGAGGGGCTTCAAAGGCAGGCATGAAGCAGCAACTGCAGGAAGCAAGGAGGTGTTTTTCTCCTTTGTTTGCTTATTGGTTGTTTTTTGTTTTTGTTTGTTTATTGGTTGCTTGGTTGGTTAGTTGGTTTTTCAAGACAGGATTTCTCTGTGTAGCCCTGGCTGTCCTGGAACTTTCTCTGTAGACCAGACTGGCCTCAAGATCAAAGAGATTCGCCTGTTTCTGTCTCCCCAGGGCTGGGATTAAAGGCGTGTGCCACCACCAGGCAGGAGTGGGCTTTTAAGGAGAAAAAGGGGGAGTCTACTAGGGCAAGTTAATAAATCCTAATTGGATATGTTAGCCAAATAATGAATTTTGATTGTTGGATCTTAGTATTCTGTCTCAGGAATGAGTCAGTGACTAAATAAGGGGATGGACCTTGGGGAGTAGCATTAGGAATGCAATCTAACAGTTTTTTAGCAAGGGCGAGCATGTGTGCCATGCTCTGGCCTACTAGAGTCCTTCAGTAGTGAACACCTGTAATCTCAGCATTTGAAAAGTAAGAAAGGAGAATCCAGGTGTTCAAGGTCATCTTCAACCACACAGAGTTTGAGTCCAGCCTAGAAGACATAAGACTCCATCTCAAAAATAACAACAAAACAGAAAGAAAGAAAAATGTGGCTTGTTCCTTCTCTATCTCAAGTGTATCACTCCTCTCCCCCAAGGATATTAGGACACCACAAGTCATGCTCGCAACCATTTAGGTCTAACCCTTCCAGCCTCCTCACTCTCCTGAACACATACATCCTCGCCTGTCCCGCCCCCTCGGTGTGTGTGTGTGTGTGTGTGTGTGTGTGTGTGTGTGTGTGTGTTACTGTGCCCATGTGAAGGTTAGAATACAGATTTCAAGAGCTGGGGCTCTCCTTCCACCATGTGGGTTCCTGGAATCAAACACAGGCTATCAGTCTTAGGAGCAAGTACCTTTGTCCACTGAGATAACTCTTTGACCTTTCTTTTTTTAAAGATTTGCTTTAATTTTTATGTGTATGCATATGTGCATATGCTACATATGTGTGGGTATGCATGGGAACCAGAGTAAGATGTCAGATCTCCTGGAGCTGGAGTTAGAAGTGGTTGTGAGTGTCCTGACTGGGGCACTGGGAACTGAACCGGAGTCCTCTGGAAGAGCAGAAGTGATCAAGTGCTCTGCTGACAATGTCTCTCCAGACAATGGACCCCCACTCTCTCTTCATGAATTGGACTCTTTCAGGTACCTTATAGAGTAAACTCGTACTTTTGTCCTCTCATGCCTAGTGTGATATGTTGTCTATAAAGTTCATCCATGCTATTGAATATAACAATTTTGTTTTATTTTACGTGTTTGTCTTTGGTTTTTCGGGACAGGGTTTCTCTGTATTGCTTTGGAGGTTGTCCTTGAACTCGCTCTGTAGACCAGGCTGGTATTTTATGTATTTTTTAGCCATTAGATATTTGAGTTGTTCAAAAGAGGGGAAAAAAGATACGAGTTGGGGACTGGAGACATGACTCAGTGATTAAGAGCAGTGGTTGCTCTTCTAGAGGCCCTGAGTTCAGTTCCCAGCAACCACATGGTGGCTCACAACCATCTGTAATGAGATCTGGTGCCCTTTTCTGACCTGCAGGTAGAATACTATATACATAAAAAAATCTTTAAGAAAAAAAGATTTGAACTGTTTGCACCTCTTAGTTACTGTGACTAATAGCTATACATACTTGTGTGATGTTCCACCGTAACAGAAATAGACTGACACATCCTCTAAAGAAGGTGTGATTTCAACCCAGGCAGACTCTGTGAGCTCGAGGCCAGCCTGGTCTACAGAGTCAGTTCCAGGACAGCCAAAGCTGCTTCAACAAACAAAGGTATTTTCACTGACTCAATTCAGACTGCCCTAAAGTTTTTCAAGGAAGGCAGACGTTTTAAGGTTCTGTGTTTGTTTCAACCATGTCCAATTTAGCAAGAGCCTGCTAAGATGACTTAACCAGAGATCCAGCTCCCACTCAATATCTGATCACCCTCCATAACTAATGGAGTCCCTCATCCCACACATCCTCCAGGTGATGTCTGAGCACCTGGGCCAGTCTTTGGTCAAGCCTGTTAGACAAGTGGGCTGGAGAGATGGCTCAGCATTTAAAAGTACTGGCTACTCTGCCAGAGGACCCAAGTTCAGTTCTCAGCACAACCATCTCTGTCTCCAGGGGACCCGATGTCCTCTTCTGATCTCTGCAAGAACTGAGTAGTAAACAGACACATGTAAGCAATTCACCCACCCATACACATAAAATAAATGTTTTTAATTTTTTTTCAAGAATTGTTAGATACCTTCAGCCAGAACCTCTAATATTTCTTGTGAGTAATTTTTTACCCACTGACCACACTACTCTTGACTATAAATTCCCACTTAGCTGTGCTATATTGGTATTTGAGCCAAATTTCTGTCTTCCTGGCTGCAAAAGTCCTATGTTATTTCAATGACCTTGAATGAAGTCTACCAGCCTTCCCTTCGCTTTAATTTTGTATTTATTCTATTTTTAAAAGATTTTTTATGTATATGAGTGTTTTGCCTGCAAGTATGTGTGTGCACCATGTATGTGCGTGCCTGGTGACTTCAGAAGTCAAGAAGAGGGCTTTGTATCCCTGAAACTGAAATCACAGATGGTTGGAGCCACTATGTGGGTGCTGGGAGTTGAACCTGGGTTTTCTGCAAGAGCAATATGTGGTCTTAACCATTGAGGCATTTCTCCAGCCTCTATTTATTCTGTTTTTCAGATAGGGTTTCCTATTGCAATCCAAGTTGACCTAGATCTCATTATGCAGTTGGGTCTGGCCTTGAACCCTTAGCAATCCTCCTGCCTCCAAGATACTGGGATTACTCACACAGGAGTCACCACACCCAATCTGATTTTTCTTCAACACCCCTCTTTAGACATTTTCATCCAGACCTAAGGAAGAATGTTTATCCTCCAAATTAGAGGAAGTAACAGAAACAAGAGTCCAGACTCCAGCATGGCCGTGGCTGACAGAATAATAAACGACTACGGGAAACCCTAGGACCTTCGACCTCCCCTGAGGTTCCAGCATAGAATTCCAGTGGGCAACCGGGAAGGGAGCCAGGTAGACTGCTGACTCCACACTCTCTCCATCCACCCAAGAAGGTGCTGCCTTCCACCAGCTTCCACCCTGCCTACAATCTTTTCCTCTCCACCTTTGCTTGCCAACCCCGCAGGTACCAAGCCAGTGCACGCGTTCACGGTGCCCACCTTGGGGCCCGGAGCTTGGCTTCAGGCTTCAGACTCCCAGAAGCAGCGCCCCCTTCTTCTCCGACACACGAAGTAGCATTTTCCAGCCAAGCGGGCTGGGAAAGAGCCAATTAGCGCTCGGGGGCGGAGGGGGGGGGGGGGGAGGGGGACGGGGGGGGGTAGATGCCTCTCTTCCACTGCTCAGCAGCTTCTGACTCCTCCTCACACCCCAGGCTCCCGCTACACTACCCGGAGTAGGTCTCAGCCCTCCCTGCACACTGACAGCGCCAGCTGCCTGGGAGCCTCCAGGGGACGCGCCGTCGGGCCTCGTGCCAACTGCAGTGATGGATCTCGTCGCTGGCTCTTGTCCAGAGCCCAGGCGGACTCAAGGGCGCCTAGGCCTGGAACTCGCAGCGGCTGGTGGCGAGGCAAGAGGGTTGGCCCCGCTGTGAGGACTCCTGGGCCTCCCAACCGCATGTGCCTCGGAGCCCGTCATCAGTTCATCCTGCAGCAGCTAGAAAATTGCAACAGTTCAACCCAAATCTTAGAACTGTCAGTGAGGCGCTTGGTGTCTGACTCTGAATTCTAGCTTTCTTCGGGCCTTTATTTCTGCGGGTCTGGGTTAGCAGTGTCCTGACCAATCGCCTAATGGTGACCATGGCAGGACCAGGCTTTGGAAATCCACCATGGGTATTTATTTGTTCGTGCTCCTGCTGCAGTGAAGTTGGCAGTATGAAGCCTCGGGTCCTCAACACTGCTAAGTGAATGTATGGACTTCCTCCTCAAGGTCCCTGCCCTGAACAACACAAATCATTCACCTATATATAGGCTTTGGGTGACCCCCAAAGGGATCAGACATTACCTCCAGGCGTCTGCAGGGTGCACGGGCAGAGACTCCAGGGCTTTTAATTTAGACAGCAACCCGGTAAAAAGCCCTGAGATCCAGGCAAGCATCGGGTGAAGAGGAGCTGGAAGAAGGAACAGTGGGAGCCGATGTGGAGCACCAAACACTTCACGGTCCTTCCAACACGATTTTTGCAGCTACTGTTGGACACAGTGGGGCCATAGAGCGATGGACCCAGTGCCTAAGACATACAATGGTATGAGCTGAAAGTTCTCAAAGAAACAAGGGGGGAAGATTTAGGAGGAAGGGCCACAGCATGGCCTCTGCTGTGCAACGCTTCTCTTTCCCTATCAGGGCTACACGGGCCTGGGCTAGAGGGGAACTGAGGCCCTTGAACAGTTCTGGATGCAGGGGCCTTTTCTGTGTCCACACTTCATCTCAGATTGGCCTCAGTGGGAGAAGGACTGAGTGCCTGCCCTCTGTTCACACATCCCTCGGGCCTAGTGTGCCCACACTCTTTGGGGAAGAAAGTGTCACTTATTTTAAAGAGTTTGAGCCTTTCCATGTACCAGGGCCATTGACTGT